AGATGTCAGCGCATCAGCGAGGGCCTCCCTGACTACCCTGTGTAAAAGAACAGCCCCTGGCACTCTCTGTTTATCTTCATTTAATGCTTTGTTGTTGTTGTTGTTGTTGTTGTTGTTTTGAGATAGGGTTTCACTCCTGTTTCCCAGGCTGGAGTGCAATGGTGTGATCTCAGCTCACTGCAACCTCTGCCTTTCGGGCTGAAGCTATTCTCCTGCCTCAGCTTCCTGAGTAGCTGGGATTTAAAATCAGCCACCATGCCTGGTCAATTTTTGTATTTTTAGTAGAGATGGGGTTGCACCATGTTGGCCAAGCTGGTCTTGAACTCCTGAGCTCAAGTGATCTACCCATCCCGGCCTCCCGAAGTGCTGGGATTACAGGCATGAGCCATTGTGCCTGGCCCTCTTCACTTAATTTATTTCTCTTTTTATCACTTATCACCACCTGGCCTGTTTTATATTCACTTGCTCTTTAAAAATCCGCCCTCCCTTCTTGAATATAAGCTCCCTGAGGGCAGGGATTTCATCTCTTTTGTTTATTTCCTGTAATCCACCTCTTGGCATATAGTTACTGGACATTCAAAAACCAGCTCCCGTGTGTAGGAAGGATATGGCAAGTCATGGCCATCCCCAAGCTGTGTCCCTGGAGTTCTCCCTACTCCAGGTTGAGCCCCAGGAAATTTTGTGGGTATAAATGCTGCTGCTAGGTCCGTGCACACCCGCTGTGTTCAGCTGGCATGACCTTCTTCCCTCCTCCTTTGCCCCCTCCCATTGATGCTTTATAAATGTATTAGTGGCTGCATGATGTCACCGTAATGCATTTTGGGAATAGCCATGTGGTTTATACACACTTGAGTTGCTTTGAATGCAAACCTGACATCATACTGAAGGCAGCAGTGAACAACATATGCACAGTAAACAGGCAGAGACTGTCTTATTGATTAACAGATGAGGCCTCTATTATCGATCAAAGCTTGGCGAGGAAATTTATCACTTTTAATTTCAGGGCTGCCAAATATTTCTGCCTCTGAGCCAGCCATTACAGAGACAATTTAAAGGCACAAGACTCCTTGGGAGAGAGGATTTTGTCTGTCTCGCTCTGCTCCGCTCACGTGTCCGTGGAACTGCCTGTCTTGGCTCTCACCCTGGAGAGTTGGGGGGAAGTCAGAGCCTGTCCGGGTGGGCGTGGGAGTACTGGAGCTTTGTGAGTGGGGGCTAGCAGTGGGAGCTGACATTTGTGTTATCCACGTGTAAGGAGGGACCTGGCCCAGAGTCAGTGAGGACAGGGGCTTTCACACGCTCAGCTCAGTGTCGTGACTTCAGCGAGGTGGGGGTGGAGTGGCGGGACTTTGAAGGCAAGCAGATGTGGTCAGGCTTGGGCCGAGGCAGCCGCTTTTACTAGATCATGTGTGCTTATCTGTCTTCATCTTCCTCTGCACTTGTCTGATGGTACACATCCGGCCCTTTATTTCCTACCTGGCCTCCTTCCTTTCTCTCTGCTTCTCAGTCATTAAAGCGAGAAGCTCCTCCAGCCCACAGTGATGGCTGTTTTCTAAGAACCCTCCGGACCACATCCCTTGGAAGCCTGTGGCACGGTGGGCTCCTCGCCGACTGCAGGGCTCCAGTGTGGGAGCCCACAGGGTGCCCTCCCCTTCCCGGCCAGTGCTTCCCTCTTCGGGCCTTTGCTTCCCCTTTCTCCTTTACGGAGCCGCGAGAGCGGATAGAACCCAAGGAAGAAATACAATTAAAATCAGATTCCTTACAGATCCACAGAAAATCATTGATGGCTAATGATTTGGGACTGGGGGCAGTTTCTAATTGTGAGGGAGCTGTGACTTCATCCAGCCCCAGCTTTCCTGTCCAGGCCCACTTTGCTCTTGGAGGTGCTGTCTGCATTTCCAGTGTAAATGGATGAAAGGTAGTCTTGGCTGCTACCCCTGCTCACACACGTCATCACTGCTTCGCCATCACTGGGGGCTAGAAGTTTTCTTGGCTCTTTCCTCAAAGCTCTCTAAGCCATATATCAGGTGCTTGGCCTGAGGGTGCCCTGTGGCTTGAAGGGACACCCAGAGGTCACCATGGGATTCTCCGTGCCTCCAGGTGAAATTCAACCCCAGCCACCTAAGGCAAATGACAATATTTATTTTTAAAGCTTTTCAGGAGAAGTGAGTTCATATCCTCCCTGGGGTACTTTGTCACCCACTTATCCGGCCAGTCGACTCACGTTTATTCAGCACCTACTAGAGTGTATCCTGCTCATCAGTAGGAAGATAGGTGTCAGCGAGACAGAGAAAGTCGATACCTCCAGAGGACCCCACCTTCTAGACTTCCTCTGGGATCCTCATATTCTTCACTGCAAGAAGCATTTATTGGTATTGAAGTCTGTGCTGGAACAGCTTGTATTTGGAGTTGCATTCCTTCAGTATGTGCTGATTCTCCAAGGCAGAGGTTTCCATATTTCTAGAAAAGTAGTGGAGCCATTTTTCCAGCCCCAAAGCCCTGATGTGTAAAATAGGTAAATTGAATTTTCATTCAGAGATGGGAGCTCAGACCCCACCCATGGAGTCTTATCCACAAAGCATCTTTGCAGATGGAACCCTAGGGAGGCCGAAGGGTACAGGGATTACTCTGAAATGAGGCTGCCTGTGTTTGAATTCACCTTTACTATGGTAACCACTGTGTAGCGTTGGGCAAAGTGCTTAACCTCTCTGGGCTTGAATGTACTCATCTGCTACATGGCGATAATGATAGCACGTACTATATAAATGGTGGTAGTTAGGACGAATGATACATATTAAGCATCTAGCATCATGCCTGGTATATAGTCAAGACTCAGGAAATCTGAGGTGATTTGAAAACAGCACTGTCGGCTACAAATTTGTGTAAAAAGTAGTTCTGGCTCGTACGAGGCTCTAATACAAAACTAAAACACAGGCATATTTAAAGAAGAGTGAAGATGACCAGACACACTGGCTCACACCTGGAACTCCCCAGCACTTTGGGAGACCAAGGTAGGAGGATCACTTGAGCCCAGGAGCTCAAGACCAACCTGGGAAACACAGTGAGACCTCATCTCTAAATAAAAAACAACAAACAAACAAACAAACGGAATTAGTCAGGCATGGTGGCGTGCACCTGTAGTCCCAGCTACTCAGGAGGCTGAGGTGGGAGGATTGCTTGAACCCAGGAGGTTGAGGCTGCTGTAAGCTATGATTGTACCACTGCACTCCAGCCTGGGTGACAGACAGAGACCCTATCTCAAAAACAACAAAGACAACAACAAAGTGCTAAGACGTGTTGAAAGGAACAGAGTGCAGTGGCAGATTGGAAAGGGCAGAAGAGTAAGGGACTGGAGAGCTTGATGTCCACAAACTCTGGCCTTGAAAATGGAGTGGGATTGGAACAGATGGAGGAACAGGACTGAGCATTGCTCAAGCACAGCGACTCTAGGAAGGTCAAGCAGTGCCCAGAGAGGGCTGGTGAGGACAGCTTACCTGTGGAGGTGGGTGGCTAACCGGGACAGGTTATGGAAGGCCTTGAAGCCAAGTAGAGGAATTTAGAGTCAGTACACATTGGGAGGCCTTGTATCTTCTTGAGTAAGAAAGTGTGAGGAATCAAGTGGCCGTAGAGGAACCTGCATGTGTTGAGTAGATTGCGGGTGGCTGGTGGTGTGGAAACCACCTCGCGTCTTACAGTGTTCTGAGGGTGATGCTGCAAGGACCTGAATGGGGTGGTGATTGCAGTGGAATCACTGCACCAAATGCTGTGGAAGAGTACATCTACGAGACATCTTGAAGGAAAAATGTCAAGGCTTGTGACAGGTGACCTCTGGATCAGATAATATAGTAGAGCCATGAAGACTATTAGCCAATGATAAAAAGTACTGTTTCATCTTGACATGGTGGCATTATCACTTTAAGCCTTCTAAATGACAGTTCTGAGAAAGTTTATTAAATTGAGTTGCACTGAGTTAATCTTATTTATTCCACAAATATGTATAGTAATAGGTTTCCACTGTGTGTCAGGCAGATGCAGCTGTGCACAAGATGACACGGTCCCTCCGCCAGGGAACTTACCATGTGGTGAGAGAGAAAGACAGGGCCACGGGCATTTGGAATGGAGCACAGCAAGGGCCAAGAACTGGAACATATCAGGTGCTATCGGAGCATAAAGGAGCCTTGCCTCACCTACACATGGGGGCCCGGGTATTGAAGTCGATGCATGAATGATGAATAGGACCTCCAACTGCACCATAGCAGCCAGGGAAGCGTGGGAGAATGTCAGAGGCAGAGGACATGCAGAAGAATGTGCTCAGGCCTAGCAATGAGGAAGAATATGGTTCCTCCAGGGAGCCCACATGGTTCAGTGTAGCTGGAGAAAAGAGAGCAAGAGTGAGGTGTGAGAGACGAAGCAGGAAAGAGGAGCATACTGAGAAGTGCTTTGTGAGTCACAGTAAGGAGTTTGAACCTTGTTCTTCAGGCACTGGGGAGTCATTCAGGGGTTTTAAATGGTCAGATGCAGGCAGCAGTTGGGGGTAGACGGTGAGTTTAGTTTTGGACACACTGAGTCAGAGGTCCCTGTGTACATCCAGGTAAAGGTATGTCAGCAATTCTTACCTTCCCATAAAGTACAGTTTAGGCAACAGGACACATTTCCCTGCGTTGGTATCATTTTTCTCCTGTCCTCCCATCACGTGGAGGTAGGTCTTCAGATCCTCCTTCTTCTTGAGGTATCTAACTTGGAGCCCATTTCTGTTTATCTTGGTTATTCTGATTTTGTTTCTCTTTCTCTCTGGAAGAGCCCTAGACAAAGGCATTTGGAACTCAGTTGGGTGAATGTTCACCTCTTAGAGGAAGGTCTGAACCATGGATGATCCCTCACTCAGGATTTTCGCGGGTGTCCAGTCCCCTCCCCTAGTGTCCACCTGCACAGTTGTGGCCCAAGACCTCCCCCCTCACCAGTGGACTATTGTTCTAGTGATAACCGCCTCTCCTTTCTTTCAGCGGGTGCCAAAGCCTTTGTCTGTGATCAGTGCGGTGCACAGTTTTCGAAGGAGGATGCCCTGGAGACGCACAGGCAGACCCATACTGGTGAGTTGACTTGGATTCCTATTCTCCAGGTTTTCCACAGTGTTGGTAGCACATGGACATGAATTGTCTGGGTGGCAACCTCTTTTTAGCAAATGTAACATCCAGTAATTTCCTGGGGGAGCTGTGAGTAGGGTGGGCTTCTGCCATGTTCAGCTACCCTTGGCTGTGTGGCTGGCCCAGCAGAAGTTTACAAGTATGACATGGCCCCATGAGAATGGCTGTCCTAGATTAGGCCAGGATCTGTCTCTAACTGGCCACTGAGATCCCATTTTCTTGGAGGTATCTAGTACGCTCTTGTTGAGGCCTTAGTCTGTGATGTTACCAAAACATCTTCCTTTGATCAGGAAATCTGTCACACCCATCTGATGAGACTGAAACCCTCATGTGGCCATGGTGGGCTGGTCCTCCCTCTGCGAGAGCTGAGACATTGTCTAAAATCAGTCTGTACACAGGATGCATCTGAACAATATTAACTCACAATGATAGAGCTTTATTTGATTTCAAGGAGATTGATTTCACTGCACCAAAGTCATCTGATGATTGTGATCAGAGTTGTTGTCACCAGATCGTCACAGCGGCTCACACTTAACACTCACAGTGAGGCAGGCACTGTTCTCAGGGCTTTACGTCAGGGATCCCCAACCCCGGGATCATGGACTGGTGTCCGTGGTGGTCTGTTAGCAACCAGGCTGCACGGCAAGAGGCGAGCAGTGGGCGAGCAAGTGAAACTTCATCTGTGTTTATAGCTGCTCCTCATTGCTCGCATTACCACCTGAGCTCCTCCTCGTGTCAGAGCAGCAGCAGCAGCAGCATTAGATTCTCATAGGAGCACAAACCCTACTGTGAACTGTGCACGCAAGGGGTCTAGGTTGTGTGCTCCTTATGAGAATCTAATGCCTGATGATCTGTCACTGTCTCTCGTCACCCCCAGATGGGACCATCTAGTTGCAGGAGCTCAGGGCTCCCACTAGTTCTACATTATGGTGAGTTGTATAATTAGTTCATTATATATTATAATGTAATAATAGAAAAATAAAGTACACAATAAATGTAATGTGCTTAAATCATCCCAGGAATACCCTCCTGTACCCTGCCATATGTGAAAAAGTTGTCTTCCATAAAACTGATCCCTGGTGCCAAAAAGGTTGGGGAGCACTGCTTTACGTGATCCCACCTGGCCAATCTCTGAGTAACGCTATAAGGTAAGGTCGGAGGCTACTCTTACATCATAGATGAGGAAACTGAGGCTGAAAAGAGGGAAAGTGACTTGCTGGAGTTGGTAATGGGGACAGGTGTGGTAGAACCATATAGTTCAGAGCTGAGACTGCATGAGTTTAATCCTGACTGCCACTTCCTATTTGTGGGGCCATGGATAAATTATTTAAACTCTCTAAATATAGATTTCTCATCTGTTAGAAAAGTGGAGTCATATTAGTGTCTACCTCCTAGCATTAGGGTTGTTGTGGGGATGAAATAAGGTATTTTATTTGAAGTATTTCATGGCGTGTTTGGCTCATAGTAAGCACTCAATAAATAGTAGTAGGTATATTTAATGTAATAGATATTTATTGAGTTTCTGCAATGTGCCTGGCACTGTTTAGGCATTTAAGATGTAGTAGTGCATGAGACAGACGACATTCCTGCCCCTCATGGAACTGAGCTTCTAGCTGGGAGACAGAATCAGCAAATAAGTGTACGATATCATATCTGCTTATACATACTAAGTGCTACTAAGAAAAGGATAAGGAGTAGAGAATAATAGGGAGAAAAGAAATATCGTGGATATTTTGGGAGAAATGTTGTAGATAAAATGGTTAGGGAAGGCCTCTCCAAGAAGGTGGTATCTGGGCAGAGTCTTAAAAAGAGAAGGAGTGAGCCACTCAAAAATTTTCTGGGAAGAATGTCTAAGCAAAGGGAGTGAGCGCTTACAGAAGCCCTGAGGCTGGGTCAAGTCTGACAGGTTTAAGGACCCGCATGCAGAGCAGTGGTGGCGAGAGAGCTGGGAGTGACGTGCAGAGAGTGGTGAGGGATGAGGACAGGGTCTGGCAGCCCAGATCCAGCCAAGTCTCTCAGCCCTGGTAAAAGATCTGGGTTTTATTCTGCATGTGCTAAGAGTCCTTTGGAGGGTGAGAAAATATCTGCAAATCATATATTTGATGAGGAACTTATAGCTAGAAATAGAAAGAGGTCTTATAATTCAAAAAACATTAACAAATAATCAAATTAAATAATGGGCAAAGGTTTTGAACAGACGTGTCTCCAAAGATGACAAATAGCCAATGAGCACGTGAAAAAGATGCTCAACTGCATTCACCATCAGGTAGATACAAATCAAAACCACAGTGAGATACTGCTTCACACCCACTACAGTGTGGCTACAATAAAAAATACAGATAATAACAAGTGTTATCAAAAATGTGGAAAAACCAGAACTCTCATACTATGCTGGTGGGAGTGTAAAATGGTGCAGCCACTTTGGAAAACATTCTGGAGATTCCTCAAGAGGTTAGCTGAGGCAGGTAGATCACGAGGTCAGGAGATCAAGACCATACTGGCCAACATGGTGAAACCCCATTTCTACTAAAAAAGTACAAAAATTAGCTGGGCGTGGTGGCATGTGTTTGTAATCCCAGCTACTTGGGAGGCTGAGGCAGGAAAATCACTTGAACCAGGGAGCTGGAGGTTGCAGTGAGCTGAGATTGCGCCACTCCAGCCTGGTATCAGAGTGAGACTCTGTCTCAAAAAAAAAAAAAAAAAAAGGGTTAAACATAGAATTACCATACGACACAGCAGTTCTTCTCTTAGGTATACAACCAAGAGAACTGAGACGATATGTTTATAGCAGCATTATTCATAATAGCCAAAACAAAATGGAAACAACCCAGTATGTATCAACTGATGAATGGATAAACCAAGTGTGGTGTATTCACACCATGGTATACTGTTTGGCTCTAAAAAGGAATGAAGTACTGATACATACTACAACACAGATGAACTTGAACATGCTCTGTGAAAGAAGCCAGATGCGGCCGGGCGCGGTGGCTCAAGCCTGTAATCCCAGCACTTTGGGAGGCCGAGACGGGCGGATCACGAGGTCAGGAGATCGAGACCATCCTGGCTAACACAATGAAACCTCGTCTCTACTAAAAATACAAAAAAATTAGCCGGGCGAGGTGGCGGGCGCCTGTAGTCCCAGCTACTCGGGAGGCTGAGGCAGGAGAATGGCGGGAACCCGGGAGGCGGAGCTTGCAGTGAGCCGAGATCGCGCCACTGCACTCCAGCCTGGGCGACAGAGCGAGACTCCGCCTCAAAAAAAAAAAAAAAAAAAAAGAAGCCAGATGCAAAATGATTGTGTTCATGTGAAATATCTAGAATAGGCAAATCTATAGAGACAGAAAGTAAATTAGTAGGTGCCAGGGGCTGGGGTAGTTGTGAGGAAATGGAGAGTGACTGCTGATGAAGCCAGAGTTTCTTCATGGAGTGATGAAAATGTTCTAAAATTGATCATGGTGATGACTGCACAGCTTTGAATACTGAGGCTCCTCGACTTACAGTGGGGCTGTGTCTTGCTAAACCCATCATAAGTTGAAAAGATAATAAATTGAAAATGCATTTAATACAACTAACCTACTGAACATCATAGCTTAGCCTAGCCTACCTTAAATGTGCTCCAAACACTTACATTAGCCAACAGTTGGGCAAAATCATCTAATATAAGACCTATTTTATAATAAAAGTGTTGAAGATCTCATGGAATGTATTATATCCTGTACATTACTTCAAAACTGTGATGGTTTCCCACAATTATAAAGTTAAAAATCCTAAGTCAGGGACCATTCTATGTATTAGTTGAACTGTACACTTTAAAAGACATGAATTTTATATTGTATGGTATGTGTATTAGATCTCTGAAAAGTGGCATGGGTGTGTACATGTATATAAATGAGCTCTGCCAGTGTCAGGAAGAGTCACTGGCATCACTCATGCCACCTCTCTTTCATATGTAGATACATACACACACACACATGTATACACACACATATGTATACATACACACACATATACGCACAGACAGAGTGATGTGCCATGTATTAAGCCGTTCTTGCATTGCGGTAAAGAAATACCTGAGACTGGGTAATTTACAAAGAGGTTTAATTGGCTCACAGTTCTGCAGGCTTTCCAGGAAGCATGATGCTGGCATCTGCTCAGGCTCTAGGGAGGCCTCAGGAAGCTTACAACCATGGTGGAAGGCAAAGGGGGAGCAGGCATGTCACATGGCCAGAGCAGGAGCTAGAGAGAGAGAGTTGGGCGAGAGGGAAGCAGCTGCACACTTTTAAATGACCAGTTCTCTCAGATAACTCACTCATTGTCATGAGAATAGCACCAAGAGGATGGTACTAAACCATTCAGGATAAACTCATCCCCATGATCCAATTGCCTTGCACCAGGCCCCACCTCCAACACTGGGGATTACAGTTCAATATGAGATTTGGGCAGGACAAATATCCAAACTATATCACACCATATAATGACATTTTGGTCAACAATGGATTGCATATATGACAGTGGTCTCATAAGATTATAATACCATATTTTTACTGTACCTTTTCTACATTTAGATGTGTTTAGATACATGAATACTTACCATTGTGTTACAATTGCCTGCAGTGTTTAGTACAGCAGCATGCTCTAAAGGTTTGTAGCCTAGGAGCAATTGGCAGTCCCATATAGCCTTGGTGTGTAGAAGGCCATACCATCTAGGCTTATGTAAGTGTGCTCTAGGATGTAGCCTAGAAGCTACCCACTAGGAAGTGGAGAGCTGGAACTTGACGCAACTCACGTGCTCTTTCCACGACTCCCCAACTGCCTGCACATTGACTGAGTGTTGTCCATGGGCTAAAAGGCTCAGGATCATGCCCCGTCATGGGCAGGGCTCTTTTGGCTCCTTGTGCCCTATTTAAGACAAAATTGTCTAATGAAACATTTCTCAGAACATACCC